CCGTGCCAGGTGCAGGGTCTGCTGGCTGGGTGCTGGCAGGCTTGCACCTGGCACGGGCACTGTAGCCAGCCCGTGCCTCTTTAAGGGGTCCGGGGCCGGGAGGGCGGCATACGAGTTTCCCTGGTGTTGGCCAGAGTGGCCACCAGGGAAACCTGGGGAGGGCTAGCCTCCCACTAGTTCGAATTAAGGGGCTACACAGCCCTTAATTCGAACTAGTAAATTCGAACTAGGCTTAATCCTCGTGGAATGAGGATTACCTAATTCGAACTAAGCGCTCCGTTAGTTCGAATTAAGTTCGAACTAACGGAGCGCTAGTGTAGCGCCTATGAAAGTTAGTTCGAACTAACGTCCGTTAGTTCAAACTAACTTTGTAGTGTAGACATACCCTAAGATCCATCCCTCCTCCTCACACACCAGGGCTCACCCAGGTCTGTTTGTGGCCTCCTAGCCCTTCCTCAGTGCAGGGAGGGGCCTAGACTGGGTGTGGAGAGTCCTATGTACATATCAATATCCTGAGAGGTGTCACAGGAGATGAGCGTGATGGAACGTTTCCTCCAGCTGTTCAAATGTTATTTCATTCCGCTTTAGAATGTGAGCAGGGATGTGCCCACGACCGGAGCAGGGCATAGGAAAGAGCCCCCAGCACAGGCCAGCATGGGCGGGAGGGCAGAGGCTGCCATCACCTGGTTTGGGCCATAACCAATGTCACAGCTTGCTCTGGCCTTGTGTCTATGTCCATAGCCAGTGAGTAGATCAGGGGCCCTCCGGAGCATTGGTGCAGTATGTGGGTGCTGGGTGACCAACCACACTTGCTGTGGGGGCTATCAGCGGCTTCCTCTGATTGCTCTGTGCACCAGCACTTGGCATGAGACATTTGTACTAGGTGGGGTGGATTGTGGGTGCCACACTACACTGCCTGGGCCCTGAGTAGGGTTGCCAGGTGTCTGGCTTTGGTCCGTCCGGTAAAAAAAAACTGTTTCTATCAGACGGAAGGCCACTTGGGACATTTTTCCCCTGCCGTGTCTGGCGGGGGCGGGGGAGTGCAGTCACACTTTTTTCGTGTGCAGTGGAGACTTTTTTTGCTCAACAACTTTGGTCCCTCCCCCCCCCCCTTTTTTTTTTTTGCTCAACCAATTTTTTCCCCCGCCATGTTTGGTATTTTTTCTGAAAGTACCTGGCAACCCTATCACTGAGCAGCCCATGACTGAGTATGTAAGAGCTGCTCCGGAGAGAGGTGGGGGGCATCTGGCAGCGCACTACATAGTAAAAAGATAATAAACAGGATGAGAAAATGAGCACAGGAATGCAGGAGACCGATGGGCTTGTCCTGTCAGAACCGGAACAGCTCAGGCAGTTTGCATGAGGATAAGACCTTGCAGCCTGGGCAGGAGCAGCTGCTCAATAAATTAGCCAAAGTAAGTAATTAACAGTGACCTTAAGTCACAAGGCGGCATGAGACGGCATTTATTGTTTTGTAATAATCACCAGCACTGCAAACAGCTTGAGGTGGCTGCGAGACGGCCGACTGCCCCAGCTGAGGGTGTTTTTGGAAGGAAATATCAGTAGATGCTCAGTCGCAGGTACCCACAGTAACCCAGCTGGCATATATGTTCATGAGCATCACCTCATGAGCATACAGGAAGCTAACCACCCAATGCTATGAGGGTGAGGAAGAGAGGATGTGACGAAGGAGGGAAGAGCTACGCACACAGATGCCTGAGGACCATCCAGGCCTATGTAGCATCTGGAGTTTTTCATTGGCACACCAGAGTCAGACCAGGATTTGTCGTCCCCCCCCAGGACAAAGCACGTACCAGGGGAGCTGACAGCCTCTCTGGGCCCCTAAACAAGGTGGGGGGGCAGGCTCAATGCTCCCAGAAGGGGCGGGGCTTTAGTGGAAGGGGTGGAGCTGGGGATATTGTCATGCCTCAAAGCAGAGCCAAAGCAGTGACTCTAATTAAATACAGGGCTTGGTCTTGGGGCAGGAACCTACCAAATCAGAGCACTAATGGGGGACTCCTGAGTGATCACTAGCTCAGGCAGAAGTGGCACCAGCCCAGGCTGAGGGGTGCAGGGCTCACAGTCCTGTAGAACAGCTGGGGGCTGGGAGGCCTGTCCTCTGCCTGGTTAGCTACAGGCTGCTCTGCTCCCTACAAACTGTGCCCCCCACACTGACCCGGCTGAGCACTGACTCATAGGAGCCATCCCATGGGTGGGGGCTGACACGTTGACTGAGCACAGGAAAATCCCGACAACATCCCTTTACGTCAGGGCACACCCCTTTGTGCCAGCCCCTGGGACAGGGCAGGTGTAGGAGCAGCAGACAGGCGATGGGGAGGCCTCGCCCGGGTCTGTGTTGTTAAAAATACTCCTCCGAGCCGTGGTTCAAAGCGGTACGAGGAGCTAGCAAAGCTGAGGCCACGGAGAGGGGGGAGCAGCTTCTCACAGGAGATGCCTCTAGTAATACAGTGACCGCAGCCCAGGGGCGGCCTGTGGCCAGGCTCTGTGTCGGTGCATTGCACCAGCAGCACGCGACTCTCCAATCGCATGAATTCGCTTCCTGACCACAGCTCAGGCGGGGCTTATTTATAGGCGGCTTGTGGCTTTGCTCTTTCTTCTGCGATTCCTTCTCATGTTGTATTTTCTCTTCTCAAGCCAGACACTCAGCGCCCTGCTCTCCCCGTCCCGGGCTCCCACCCCACAGGCACAGCTCTGCCGGTGCCCCTCAGACTCTGGCTTCATGTTCCTGTTCTCCTCCGCTGGAGCTCCTCAGTCTGGAAATGAAACACGCTTGGCCGTGCAGCTGTTATGTAGTTTTGCAGAGGCAATCTATGCGAGTCAAATGCAGCATCTCCTGGTCTGTGTCTTTCAATGCTTAACAGAGTCCCTGGCACCTGAGAATCCATAGTCAAGGGCCAGTTTTTGAGAACCCCCAACTCCTGCCAGTTCAGAGGCCTCCGAAGGGATTCCAGCGCCCCCCGGTGTCCAACCGAGCAACAATCCAGAGCAGGCAAAACACTGTAACATCTCTCTACCGTTGGGAGGGGTTCCGGAGAGAGCATTGCTATCAGTCAGCACCTACCTAGTTCTTCAGCTAGGAGGTGAATCTTGACACCAGTAAGAATAATAGTTTTGCCCTTGACTTCAATGGGATCAGGATTTGGCCCGAGTGTGACCCATCTGTGGCTGGGGGTCAGGGCCAGCCCACAACATTTTGGCACCTGAGGCGAGGAGCTCAAATGACACCCCCATGCCCTCTCGCTTGGGCCAAAACTTTGAATTCTCTACACTCTGGGTCCTAGTGGTGCCCCACCACAGTCTGGTACCATGAGCCACCTCAGTTCGCCTCATGGAAAAGCCAGCCCTGCTGGGGGTATTGTGTTCCCAGCTGGCCTCTTAGGCTACATCTACACTGCTTCCTTCTTGCACAAAGTCCTATGCAAATGAAGTGTGGATTAGCATGTTGCCGCACTTCATTTGCTATTTAATTAGGGGGAATTTTTGCGCAAGAGGCTTTTGTGCAATAAGGAGCTGTCTAACCAGCTCCTTTTTGCACAAAACCTCCCTCTTGCACATGAGCCTTTCTTCCTGAAAAAATGAGGAAGAACGGCTCTTGCACAAAAGCCTCTTGCGCAAAAACGGGCCCTAATTAATTATGCAAATGAAGCATGGCAATATGCTAATCTACACTTCATTTGCATAGACATTTGTGCAAGAGGGATGCAATGTAGATGTAACCTTAGACTCCACATCTTGTGACGCCTTTGGAGAACAATGGGAGATCTCGGGCCATTGCAAGTCGGTTTGTCACTAGAGGAGAAATCAAGTCAGCTTTGGGTGTGGCCTTGTGTAGTCCCCTTACTAAAGGAGCCTCTGTTTTATTCTGAAAATACCCTGTGTGCTACAATCCAGACTACAATTCCCATGACCCCTTGGGAAAAAACAGGAAGGAAGGACTCTGGTGGGAAAGAGGAGGCTTTCTCCATGTGCTTGAAAAAGAGGCCTAGTAGTCTGGGACTCTGCCTTGGAGTTTTGAACCAGAGGGGGAGCCAGGCTGCTGCCAAGGACATTGACCCAGTGTTGGATGCAGCTACTACATGCCTGTTAGAACTGGGAGTTAGCAGGCTGCTTCCTATAGGCACAGCATGAGGCAGTAAGTTTGGGCTTTTTAGCCTGGACCAAATTCTCACTACAGCTGCAACATCAGCGCGCCAGCGCAATCAAGCATCTGGGACCGAGTCTAGGGGTGTGCACACTCTGGGATGGAGTAACTGTTGTCTAGCTATGTAAGCTTCAGTTACTGTTATGTGTTTTGTTAATGCTATTCCTTGCTAATCTGTTAATCCCTGTTTAGTTAAGTTAAGTAAAGTTTGTTTATTTTAAAGTATTCTATTAGATGTATATGATTTGTAGTTGTTCTGGAATTAGATCCAGATTTATGTTGGAATGAGTATGTTCCTGGAGGCTCTCAAGGCACCAGCGTGTGTACAAGGCCAGCCAGGTGGAGGCACCGCCACTTTACATTCATTGCCAGCAAGGGACTGCAGCAAGGGGGTGGATAGGGCTTTCCCCAACTAAACACCATCATCACTGGGGTGCTCAGGATCTCTTTTGGGTTAAAACACCAGGCGCTCAGGCACACCTGTGAGTGTGACCTCCTCCCCAGTAACCCGGGGAGGAAAAAGGGGGTTACACTTGGATTCAGCTTATTTAGTTACGATCTACACCAGTCCTGGAACCAAGGTGGCCATAAATGGCACACAGCTAATGCAAGTGGCATAACACTGAGGCTTTGTCTACATAACACCGAGGCTTTGTCGCAGGATTTTTGCGCAAGAAGATTTTTGCAGAAGAGATCTTCTGCAAAAACTTCTTGCACAAAAGCATGTCCACACCTCAAAAGCGCATCGCAAAAGTGATGTGCTTTTGCACAAGTGAGTGTCCACCCTGCATGAACACTCATTCACAGAATGGCCATCAGAGCACATGTGCTTTTTCTGATAGGCTCTTTTTGTGTAAGAAACCGCTGCAGAGCATCCACACATGCCTTTTTGCGCAAGAGCTGCAGCGCAAAAAGGAGTTATTCCTCGTGGGGAGAGGAATAACTCTGCTGGCAAAAGCCCTCCGTCCTGTCGATTTACTGGGTTTTTTTCTTTTTTTGCACAAAAATGTGCTTGAGGTGTGGACTCTCTGCCTGATTTTTTTGCAAAAACAGCCATTTTTGCACTAAAACCTTGTAGTGTAGACATAGCCTGAGACTCCCTCTCTTTACAACAGTGCCAGCTCGGACACCCTGTCTATGCCAGTGGATCGAAGTAGGTTCCATGCATTAGGAAGGGGCAGCATCTGCTGCATGTGCATGTTCTAGTAAAGGCATCCAAAGGTTCTGTTGTCCCTCCCTGCCTCCGTGTGACATGTCTCTGTTGCTCCTTGGTGCAGGAACAGCCCCGAGGGCTCTGTGTGTTGCCCCTCCTCCCCCCTGCCCGAGTGCTGGCTCTGCAGCACCAATTTGCCGGGAAGGGTGGTCAGGTGGCACTGAGAGGTGGATCCTGAGAGGGGAGGCAGCATGCAGAGCTGTCTAGTCAAGCCTCCGCCTAGGAGCAGCAGGGACATGTCACCACTTCTGGAAAGCTGCCTGAAGTGAGCGCCACCTGATTCCAGCACCCCAAATCCCCTGCTGCACCCAAACTCAG